CTCGACTGAGATAGTTTTTGTTTTGGAGTGGGGGGAGTGGGGCGGGGGTGGTGAGGTTGGGGGGGCGGATTTTGAGGTCGGCTGAGATAGGGGTTTTTTTTGGGTTGGGGGAGTGGTTTAAGCCTTAGCCTGCTTCTTCACCAGGGCCCCTGATAGTGGGGGTGGACTTGCAGCAGGCTAGAACCAGGTCACGATGGTGGGGGTGGACTTGCAGCAGACTAAAACCAGGTCACGATGGTGGGGGTGGACTTGCAGAAGACTAGAACCAGGTCACCATGGTGGGAGTGGACTTGCAGCAGACTAGAACCTGGTCACAGCCTGGCTGATGATACAGAGACCATTGGCATGTGCAGAGTACAGATGGCAGGAGACATAGGAGGATCTGGGAAACAAGCCAGTAGACTGGGAGGCGGGTCAGGAAGTCATAGAAGGGAAAGGGATATAAATCCACAGTAGAGCGGGTGACGCCCATAGGTAAACAGAAACATGTGAGTAGAACTGCAGGTCCAGCAGAGCCATTTAGTAATCCTCATCTCATCCTCTGCTTCCAGAACCCACTTTCACTCATTTCCTGTCCATAAGACTGGTGGCCACTATGCCCTATCCTTCCCCAGGGCCACCCGTCCTGTAACTTCCTCCCAGTAGGTTTTATTACCAGAGTGGTAACACAATCGCGTGGGAGGACTCAGGTCTGTCCTACCTATCCCTTACCTGCGTTAGGCCAAAGGACCACAAAAGTCTGTCCCACCCATCTACGCCTGCACGCCGCCTATAACCGCTGCCATCGATAATGTCCCCATGTATGATGGGACTCACAGTGCTCTGAAGCAGTATTTGCCCCTTCCCAATCTTAAATGACTCAAGTACAGGGGTCTCCAAACTATGGCCCTCCAGGTGTTGAGGAACTGCAAGTCCCATGGGGCCTTGCAAGACTCTGACAGCCACAGGCAAGACTCCCATAGGCAGGGGCATGATGGGACTTGTAGCACTTAAACAGCTAAAGGGCCATAGTTTGGAGACCCCTGTTTTAAGAGTCTCAAAGCCTTAGGAATGGTTTTGTAACCCTTTTCAGACTGATGCATGTCAGTTACTTTATCATCTGTTCTTGAATTTCTTTAGATTCTTTAGATGCGTTGCTTTTTGAGATCTTTAAGCATGCTTCACTTTGTCAGACAACTTTTGTTTAAGGGAGTTCTTGATTCAGCAGGTCTGGCAGTAATCAGGCCTAGGTGTGACAAATGAAGTTTAAAGTGTTACTAAGCCCACAACAGTACAATCAGTTTGTATATGCAGTAAAGCATGCTTGTTATACTCACTGAGGAACCTAAGGGGTTAATCCTCTGCACTGTGTAAAAAGGCTGTTTGATCCTGGCTTCTCTGATCCTCCTCTTGTTCAAATGTCCATGCTGATAAGACAGACTGAACCCGTAAACATTCTGCACATGCTCAGTTTAGGGTGTATTGCTAGAGAACGTTTTTTTTTTTTGGGAAAGTACATGTGATCAGCACAGGGCCAATCAGCACTGTCCAGACAGAGGTCAGGGGTTCTGCATCCTCCTAGAGCAGAAAGGAAACTCCTACTACAAGCTTTAACCAGTGCTCTGCTGAAAGTCACAAGACTGCTTTAACTTCTGATGAGAAAAGGTATTTAGCAGTTTATATTTACTAAAATAATTGCATTTACATGTTCTGTGTACGGTGGGAAACCAGATATAGTGAATGCAGGGTCCGGGGAGAGCGGTATAGTGAATGGGGGTCTGGGGAGAGTGGATGCAGGGTCCGGGGAAAGTGGATATAGTGAATGCAGGGTCCGGGGAGACCAGATATAGTGAATGCAGGGTCCAGGGAGAGCGGATATAGTGAATGCAGGGTCTGGGGAGAGGGGATATAGTTAATGCGGGGTCCGGGGAGAGCGGATATAAAGAATGCGGGGTCCAGGGAGAGCAGATATAGTGAATGCAGGGTCCAGGGAGAACGGATATAGTGAATGCAGGGTCCGGGGAGAACGGATATAGTGAATGCAGGGTCCGGGGAGAGTGGATATAGTGAATGCGGGGTCTGGGGAGACCGGATATAGTGAATGCAGGGTCCGGGGACAGCGGATATAGTGAATGCAGGGTCCAGGGAGAGCGGATATAGTGAATGCAGAGTCCGGGGAGAGCGGATATAGTGAATGCGGGGTCTGGGGAGACCGGATATAGTGAATCCGGGGAGAGCGGTATAGTGAATGCAGGGTCCGGGGAGAGCGGTATAGTGAATGCAGGGTCCAGGGTTTATTAACACTTTAACCACTTGACTTCCAGAAGATTTACCCCCCTCCCCCTTCCTGACAAGGCCATTTTTTGCGCTACAGCGCTGGGGTACTTTAACTGACAATTGCGCGGTCATGCAACACTGTAGATAAATTAAATTTCTGTTGCTGTTTTTCCCCACAAATACAGCTCTCTCTTTTGGTGGTATTTGATCACCACTACCTTTTCTATTTTTTGCGCTAAAAACAAAAATAGGCTGACAATTTTGGAAAAAACATTTTTTTTTGTTTTCTGCTATAAAACATATCCAATAAAAATAAAAAAAAAAAATACAATTTCTTCATAAATTTAGGCCAATACGTATTCCGTTACATATTTTGATTTAAATAAAAATCCCAATAAGCGTATATTGATTGGTTTGCGCAAAAAAATGACAGCGTCTACAAACTATGGGATATGTAGTTTATTTTTTTAACTACTAGTAATGGCGGTGATTAACGACTTTTAGCAGGACTGCGATATTGCGGCGGACATTTTTACACTGACACTTTGTGGGAACCAGCGACACTAATACAGCGATCGGTGCTAAAAATATGCACTGACACTGTACTAATGACACTGGCTGGGAAGGGGTTAAACATCTAGGGCAGTCAAAAGGGTTAACTGTGTGCCTAGTTATGTGCTTTGTGGACTGTGTGCGCTGCTTTTACTAAGGGAAGTGATGGATCCTGTTCTCCTGTTCCCTGAATTCGTTCGTGTGCAACGCAAGATCCATCACTTCCCCCCGTCAGAATGGAGCTCTGCCTTGTTTACATAGATGCATTGTGTGTCTTTGCCCGACAATATGCGTGTGCCGGCGGACATACACTGTCCGGCACCCCCCGATCGGTTTCTGGTGTGAATGATCACAGCTGAAACATCCCGTGCATGCACGTCCCCCTAGGCGGAAATGCAGAATCACTTTGATTTTGCACAGGACAACCGCCCTGTAGCAGTAGATCCGTTTAAGGCCTTTAAGTGGTTAAGTCAGCTTCCAAAAAAAAAAAAAAATAAGCGGGGGGGGGGGGGGGGGGGGGGGTGGGTGGGGCAATTACTTTTGCACACAGGGCCAGGCAGGTTTAGACAGCTTTTGAATTATTGTCATTTACAAACTGCATTTTGCATTAACCCCTTCATGTCAAAGGGTAAAACAAATCTTAACACCTAAGCACAATTTTGCAACTTTGACGTGTGTTAGCAAAACCATCCATATCGTCACAACTCCTTTTTCCATCCAGGTGGATTAGACCGTGTTTTTTTCTGGACAAATTCTGTGGTAAATGGTAGTGGATATAAGGAAAACTGGCCAAAAATAGTAAAAAAAAAACAATTTTTTAAAATTTAGCTGTATATTTCTTGCTACTATCATAACCTACCACCAAAGAACAACCCAAAGTAATTTCTCCTGCTCCTGATGATCGCAGCAATACCACCTATAAATGTTAGTAACCAGTTATGTTCTGTGTATCTAGGAAAGAATCCAGGACTTTTTTAAAGCAATCCACTGAGCTGGTCAGAACCAACTCTTGAAGGAGTCTATTCCACATTTTCACAGCATTTTGTGCCTCCATCCCCTCACATGATGATTTTATAGCTGGAATTTCAATATTATTTAATTAGTCCCCAGCAAGAAAACATAACATTGTTAAGGTTTTTAATAGACTTGGTGGTTGGAAAGAAAAGACAATTCCGTTGCAGGTATCTCACTACTGGAAGCCCAAGAAAAGGACATGAACACTATGGTCTTGTCTTACAGAACCTCCCTAACATGGAGCTGTTGGAACGTGAAGCACCACGAAAAAGCCTTCAGCTCTTTCTTCACTTTATTTCTAGTGAAGGTTATTTGCAAATGTTTCTGGGAGGACAATATTTGAAGTCTATAACTGATACTTGTATTCCAGTTAAGTCACTTTCATGGAGCTTCAGAACCTCAATAGAACACACAACCCACCACCAAAGGAGACCTAGCAGACCACATCCAGTCTTGCAGAACCAGTCAAAACAAGCATAACATTGTTAAGGTTTGTAAAAGACTTGGTGGTTGGAAAGAAAAGACAATTCCGTTGCAGGCATCTCACTACTGAAAGCCCAAGATAAAGACATGAACACTATGGTCTTGTCTTACCCGACCTCCCCAACATGTAGCTGTTGGAACGTGAAGCACCATGAAAAAGCCTTCAGCTCTTTCCTCACTTTATTTCTACTGAAGGTTATTTGTAAATGTTTCTTGGAGGGCAATATTTGAAGTCTATAACTGATACTTGTATTCCAGTTAAGTCACTTTCGTGGAGCTTCAGAACCTCAATAGAACACACAGCCCACCACCAAAGGAGAGCTAGTAGACCACATCCAGTCCTGCATAAACCAGTCAAAATGGTTTTCACAGCCAAAAGGGTCAATTTCAAGGCTCTACATTGGCTAAGCTTGGAAACAGCAGAAAAGTCTTTTTATTAAACACGGTCAATGACATTTTTTAGGCATGCTGGCTACCGGGGCTTGGATAAGCTGAAACTGCCCATTTACGGGTTGGCGTAAAGGTTCAGCGAAGACTGGTAATTCAAAGGTTTACTAAGTGAGGAACATGAAATACAGGTCTTACCCAGAAACCATCACTATGTTTCTGTAAGGGAAATTAAGTTCTCCCTGTTTGTGGACACATTGATGGTTCGGAGCAGAAAGATGGCAGACTAAATGTTCTCCTCTGTTAGACTACACAGTAAAAGTAGGTTTTCGTTCATGAATTCGTTCGTGTGCAACAAGTTGCCCCCTTTGTGCAAAGCATTTCCCGCACTCAGTACAGGTATAGGGCTTCTCTCCTGAGTGAATTCTACGGTGCTCCACCAGAGTCGACCTTTGTGTAAAACACTTTCCACATTCAAGGCAAGAGAACGGTCGCTCACCAGTATGAATGAGATGATGCCTATCCAGGTCTGATTTCTGGACAAAGCATTTCCCGCACTCTGGACATGAATAAGGTTTCTCCCCTCTGTGCCTTCTCTGATGGTGAACAAGAGTTGCCTTCACCGAAAAGCCTTTTCCACATTCTGTACAGGAATAAGGCTTTTCCCCTGTGTGAGTTCTTCGATGTTTGAGGAGATCTGAGTTGTGTCTAAAGCACTTCCCACATTCCGAACATGAATACCGCTTCTCCTCGCTGTGAGACCTCTGATGTTGGAAAAGGCAAGCCTTTGTCATGAAACATTTTCCACACTCGGGACAGGAATAGGGCTTTTCTGCCGTGTGAGTTCTCTGGTGTTGGACGAGGCAAAATTTCTTAGCAAAGCATTTCCCACACTCGGAGCAAGCGAAAGGCCTCTCGCCTCTGTGAGCTCTTTCATGTATGACAAGGTCCGGTTTGTACGCAAAGCATTTCCCGCATTCCAAACACGAATAAGGCTTCTCACCCGTGTGACACCTCTGATGCTTGACCAGGCTTGACTTCCAAGTGAAAAATTTACCACACTCTGGACATGGGACCTTTTTGGGAAACCTGCCAGATGTATAATGACCTGTGATCTCTGCAGGATTGGGGAAAGTCTGTTCATGGGTGGAGGGATCAGAAGATGGATTGGCATGATAAGGTACTGAATGGAGATTTGGAATTGTAGGGTTTTTTCCTGGGGAATCTGGTGAGCTGTCATCTATGTCATCATCTGGAGAGAAAGTGGAATTGTACCTTCTGTATCGTCCATCTGTAGGGAATCCACAATAAAGAAAGTGTCAAAAGAGAAACTCAGGGCTAAGGAAACAGAACAGAGGACCTAACAAGACAGACTTGCTACAAAAGAGAAGCAGCAGACCCACACGAAAACAAAATGTGGATTCATTTTTCAAGCTCCTTTCTTAGGGAGTTTACCTGGGGACTCTATAGAAACCTATGAAGACTGGACAAGCGTTATCCCTTCCTTATGGTTAATGCCCTCCTGAAGACGCCAACCAGTAAGTGACCAAGCAGCAGGAGGGGAACTGGTCAAATAGGAGCAACAAACCATAAGAAAGAAGATATGCTATATTGTGGAAACCAAAAAAATGAAGCTGTGTCCTTCCATAGAAAATATAACTATACATACACAATAATCTGACTTTGATGTCTTAGGTTGGGCCGTACTGTTCTTTCTGCTCTCTTGACTGGAAAAACACGATATGAGGAGGAGAGACGGAGTCTGATAGGGGCTGATGGCTCCGGACCCCACCACTGACCTTAAGTCACTGCAAAGTTTCCAAATCCAAGTTATCCAAAAGTAGTATAACCTGAGGTTTCAGAGGGGTTGGGGCCTGCCCCAGAACAAGGTGAGAACACAGGACCCAACACTATTAGCGAATCCTGCAGGGGTAGCGCCGCATCTGGGAATAGAAGCTGATGACTCCCCCACCGGGCACATACTGTCCCCCCATTACTGTCTACTGACAGAGGAGTGGGGAGAAGAAGATTGTTGTAGTGACGGAACAAGGAGGATCTGGGACTCTTCTCTGGATTTAGTGTTTATTCCTCACCTGGGCTGATCTCTGGAGGGATCTCCTCCTCCTTACATGGCTCATAGCCAGAGTCTAATAGAGGCTGATGGCTCCTGACCCACCTCACTGGGCACATACTGTACATAGTGTCACCAAGGCCTTCCACCTGTGAGGCTATCCTTTCCTTACCTGAAGGGATAGTCTCACAGCCGAAACTTATAAACGAATCGTCAAAACCATTATGTGGTATTTATAAATGTAATGTCCTGACATGTATTTTGTGGCTATGATTAGGGATTATTGCCGAAATGCGTAAACCATTTTATATGCACATTTTACTCGCTCAATAAAGTTTAGTATTTGGGAAGACAAGTGCCGGCTATACCAATCTTCATCATTCAGCTGCATCTGTGCTGGGAAGACACACAGAGCCAGAGCACCAACATTCAACTTCCGTGGGGATTATCTCTGGGCATAGCACCTACTTGTTTAATGCAGACGAGCTTAGAAAAAGTTTATTTTTTGTGCGTATGGAAAGGAATCTTATGTTTTCTTTTTTACTTCCGGTTGGGTCACAAAGACAGGAAGTGAGCAGACTATCCCCAGTGGGGACGCAGAAGGACGCTATGTCGTGAGGAGCTGAACCTAATAGAGGCTGGTGGCTCATGACTCCCCCACTGGGCACATACTGTCCCCCCATTACTGTCTACTGACAGAGGAGGGGGGGAGAAGAAGAGATTGTTGTAGTGACTGAACAAGGAGGATCTGGGACTCTTCTCTGGATTTAGTGTTTATTCCTCACCTGTGCTGATCTCTACACCAATTTCATCATCTTCGATCTTCACACATCGTACTTCATCCTCTTCAATTTTGACATCTCCCTCCGTCGCCATTGTGTCTGCAGGAATTATGAGAAAAAAACATTTGGAGTTTTCATATACCACATGTGCTGACCGAGAACGGCAGGTAAGGAAAAGACCTACAGTATTACTTATTTCAGTATGGGACTCATGCAAGCTGAACTACAGGGGAACCCCAAACAGCCCCATCCCAAAACGATATAATCTACAAGTGAACAATACAGCGAATGTATTGGCATGACGTGGGCTAGAGTAATTAGACTCTGTATGTGTGCAGGGGTGGCCAGCTTTCATCAAGTGTGCCAACGACACAAGGGGCCCCAACGCAGCCTGCAGAAGATCCATACTGAAGACCATACAGTATATACAGTCAGGTCCATAAATATTGGGACATCGACACAATTCTAACATTTTTGGCTCTATACACCACCACAATGGATTTGAAATGAAACAAACAAGATGTGCTTTAACTGCAGACTGTCAGCTTTAATTTGAGGGTATTTACATCCAAATCAGGTGAACGGTGTAGGAATTACAACAGTTTGCATATGTGCCTCCCACTTGTTAAGGGACCAAAAGTAATGGGACAGTTAGCTTCTCAGCTGTTCCATGGCCAGGTGTGTGTTATTCCTCATTATCCCAATTACAATGAGCAGATAAAAGGTCCAGAGTTCATTTCAAGTGTGCTATTTGCATTTGGAATTTGTTGCTGTCAACTCTCAAGATGAGATCCAAAGAGCTGTCACTATCAGTGAAGCAAGCCATCATTAGGCTGAAAAAAACAAAACAAACCCATCAGAGAGATAGTAAAAAACATTAGGCGTGGCCAAAACAACTGTTTGGAACATTCTTAAAAAGAAGGAACGCACCGGTGAGCTCAGCAACACCAAAAGACCCGGAAGACCTTGGAAAACAACTGGATGACCGAAGAATTCTTTCCCTGGTGAAGAAAACACCCTTCACAACAGTTGGCCAGATGAAGAACACTCTCCAGGAGGTAGGTGTATGTGTGTCAAAGTCAACAATCAAGAGAAGACTTCACCAGAGTGAATACAGAGGGTTCACCACAAGATGTAAACCATTGGTGAGCCTCAAAAACAGGAAGGCCAGATTAGAGTTTGCCAAACGACATCTAAAAAAAGCCTTCACAGTTCTGGAACAACATCCTATGGACAGATGAGACCAAGATCAACTTGTACCAGAGTGATGGGAAGAGAAGAGTATAAAGAAGGAAAGGAACTGCTCATGATCCTAAGCATACCACCTCATCAGTGAAGCATGGTGGTGGTAGTGTCATGGCGTGGGCATGTATGGCTGCCAATGGAACTGGTTCTCTTGTATTTATTGATGATGTGACTGCTGACAAAAGCAGCAGGATGAATTCTGAAGTGTTTCGGGGCAATATTATCTGCTCATATTCAGCCAAATGCTTCAGAACTCATTGGACGCCGCTTCACAGTGCAGATGGACAATGACCCAAAGCATACTGCAAAAGCAACCAAAGAGTTTTTTAAGGGAAAGAAGTGGAATGTTATGCAATGGCCAAGTCAATCACCTGACCTGAATCTGATTGAGCATGCATTTCACTTGCTGAAGACAAAACTGAAGGGAAAATGCCCCAAGAACAAGCAGGAACTGAAGACAGTTGCAGTAGAGGCCTGGCAGAGCATCACCAGGGATGAAACCCAGCGTCTGGTGATGTCTATATGTTCCAGACTTCAGGCTGTAATTGACTGCAAAGGATTTGTAACCAAGTATTAAAAAGTGAAAGTGTGATTTATGATTATTATTCTGTCCCATTACATTTGGTCCCTTAACAAGTGGGAGGCACATATGCAAACTGTTGTAATTCCTACACCGTTCTCCTGATTTGGATGTAAATACCCTAAAATTAAAGCTGACAGTCTGCAGTTAAAGCACATCTTGTTCGTTTCATTACAAATCCATTGTGGTGGTGTATAGAGCCAAAAGTGTTAGAATTGTGTCGATGTCCCAATATTTATGGACCTGACTGTAGTTCATTAACTGGGGTTCGTCCGTTTCACACTGTTACAATTTGCAGAAAGAGAGAGAGAGAGAGAGAGAGAGAGAGTACCTAGGTCTAGTCCATCCATCATTGGTACACCAAGACATCTTAGCCCTATACTCTTCCCACATGGAAGAAAATTATATTTTAAATATATTTTAAAAATATTCTGCCCAAATATATTGCCATATATTTGAAATACTACAATTTTGACCATATTCAATATATTTCAATAAATGTGTGTGTATATATATATATATATATATATATATATATATATATATATATATATATATATATATACACACACATATACACACACACACACACACACACACACACACATACATACACACACACACACACACACACACACACACTGCATGTTGAAATGCGCTTTTATTACAAAATATATAAAAAAATATATTTTTAAAAACACAAAAAAACACATTTCAAATATACTGTATGTCTTTAAAAATACAAATCTATATTTTTGGAATGCATTTACAAATATATGTAAATATATATGTTAAAATTACTTTTTTATATGTTAAAAAAAATCAGAAGAATATATTTACAAAAAATTATATTTTTTAAGATATCTATTTTTTAAATATATTCTTCAGATTTTTTTTAACATATAAAAAAGTACTTTTAACATATATTTTACACATATATTTGTAAATTATTATTATTATTATATAGGATTTATACAGCACCAATAGTTTGCTCAGTGCTTTACAATATAACGGGAGACAATACAGCAACAATACAGTTCAATACAAGAGGGAAAGGAGGGCCCTGCTCCTCAGAGCTCGCAATCTAGGAGATGCATTCTACAAGTGAACAATACAGCTAATGTATTGTATTTTAGGATTACCTAAAAGGTGGGCTTAAAGATGTAGTAGTGCCCACGGAACTATATCTGCTCTCCACGGAACCTGCATTCACTATATCCGCTCTCCACGGACCCCGCATTCATTATATCCGCTCTCCACGGACCCCGCATTCACTATATCCGGTCTCCCCGGACCCCGCATTCACTATATCTGCTCTCCCAGGACCCCGCATTCACTATATCTGCTCTTCCAGGACCCTGCATTCACTATATCCACTCTCCAAGGACCCTGCATTCACTATATCCGGTCTCCCGGGACCCTGCACTCACTATATCAGGTCT